GTACAATCCCATACAGCTACATAGAGCTGCGGTGCTTCAACTACAGCCAAACTTCCACGTTAATGTTCGGTTTGAGGACAGACACCACAGAAATGGATCCATTTGCAGTGTTAGCGTCACCTGCCGACAGCTGGTAGCTGGTGTTAGCTCTCGAACCGAGAGCTGAGATCAGTGTGCAGAGTCATTTTTTAGTCTATCGCTCTCATCAACTAGATATCTGGGTCCACTACGAGTTAGCCAGCTAAGGTTATCCATCCCAAATTACCACAGTCAGTAAAGTGATCTAAATGATTTAAGCAACTTTATATACAAACAAAACAAACATATGCAGGTAAATACAGCACATGCCTCCAAAATGGGCGCTGTCCCGACATTCAACACAGCGTGACGTACCCTCACATTCTCTATGTAAAGGGAGAAATGATCGTTTTGTTCAATTCAGCCCAACGACATTTATAGTCATTCAGTTGTTCATTCATTTTTGTCTAAACTAAACATCAGTAAGTGATTGCCTCATCATTAATAATGCCTCAGTTGCTGCTTCAGTTTTAGTTTTCATGATTATTTCTGTGGCTTTCTTGTGGGTATAATGAGAACAGTTGTGTGAAGACCATAAAACATGGTACAAAGCAGAAAGTAACAGGCAATGATGTAACTGCTGCTACAGGTAAAGCCTCTCACTCCCAGATGTTCTTCTGCCTGCAACCCCCAACGTTAGCTGCCAGCTGTTGTACTTGCTGCTGGATATATAACAGCACGGGCAAACATCTAGTCCAAGCCAGATGGACTGAGGACTGCTATATAAAAGAAAAATATTACAGGGCCGTCAGGGAGTATCAGGTGCACATAGTGGTAAAAATGCTCTTTTGTCTTTGAATTTTCATAAATCAAGGAGCAGTTAGTGAACACAAGGCTGACATCAAACAGCTTCTATGAGCTCCTCAATCATCAGCTTTAAAATGTTAAAGAACCACAATGGAAATCCTGGAAAGAACGTGAGATGTAGGTTTCCCTCACCGCTCCTTCACTGAACTAAGCTTTTCATTTTAGCTCATGGTTTTTATGTGCAATATAAATCTGAAGATGAGTTAGGATTCAGGTTTCTGTCCCACATTTTCTAAACTTCCACTCTCCCAAGGCTATTGAAGGGATGACGGTTTGGTCTCTGTCTCCTAACTGTCACCCAACCTTGATAGGCCTTCAGGTGTTCAGGAACAGCAGTGATCTACAAGTATTTCCTCCTCTGATCTATTCTTTAAGATGAGGAAGGATGGGGTGAAAGCTGTTTATCCAAGAATAACTGATCCCAATGATTCACAGCTGTTCAGTTAATCACAGCAGGACTGAATTTCATAAGTAGTGAGTTTATGACTTAGCAGAAAATCACTAAAATCTGTATGGATGAAGGCTAAAAATCTGTGATTTGCTATAAATGTGCTTTCAAATCAGCACTGTAGCTACCTTTCTCAGCCTGTTTTCATAGGTATGTGATGACTAGTTCCTGAATGAACAGTTTATATTAGTCTGTGATCGACCATCGCCTGCTTGCACTCTCAAACAAACTACATCTCCTCTCCAGCTTCATCCCTGGGCCCTGGCAGCCCTGCAGCAGGACATGCGGTGCTGGGACCCAGCAACGAACCGTCAAGTGCCAAGTGCTGCTGTCCTTCTCCCAGACTGTTGCTGACCTCCCAGATGATGAGTGCGAGGGGGTCAAACCCGCTATAAGTCAGCCTTGCTACCGAACTCCCTGCTCTAGTGTTTTGGGCCAAGGAAAAGAAAAGGAGCAGGAGGAAGATGAAGAGGAGGAGACACCTGGAATAGAGGAACTGCATGACTGGGAGTATGAGGGGTTTACGGAGTGCTCAGAGAGTTGTGGGGGAGGTATGGATCATTAGTGACCGCTCTAATAAAAGAAAATACACAGAACAGACAGTCCACAGCATAGCTCTGAGAAGGAGCTAGGAGGGCAGATTCAGAAATCTGATGCAATCAGAAATCAGTGTTATCATTCATTAAACCCATAACTGAATAGTTTTTATTGTATACATACTAAAAATATATTGTGTAGCTTGAATCCTGAAACGAAACCTCACGCTCTGTCACTGACTTTGTCCCAGCTACTCTATTAATCATATATGTACAAACTATTGCAAGCAATGAAACCACCCTGGTATTAGGCTCCTCAATGAAAACCAGCTCTGTTCATTATTATTAAGGTGAAATGTCAGAGCCTATTAGCAGTGGATGACTAAGGTCATGCCGTTAAGGTGAAAAGTCTGAGCAATTAGCAGTGGATGACTAAGGTCATGCCAGTGTTGGCTTTGAAGCAGAAGTAGCTTGTTTGATATTAGATGATAATGGATGGAATAGGAAGTTTAACCCTAACGGTCTCCGCCTCTCACAGCAGCAGTGAACACTCCACCAGACAGAGACAGTTTTCCTAAACATCCTGCCAACATTAGTTGAGGCCCACTTTAATCTCCCCACATCCACATGCAAGCCTGCACGCCACCACTGTATGTCCATGTGTAACTTAAGTCCGTACACGGGCGTAGGCTTTGTCGACGTCAGCGTGTGCGTGCACTCGTCCAAACCCAACAACCTTCCATTCCGTGATGATTATAAGCCGATATCGGATGTCACATACAGTACACACCCCGAAGGCTGCGCTCCTGTGGACCATCACACCACTGTAGCATTTGAAGTGCCTGCATTACTGTTATTGTCCCCTTCATTAGAAGCAGACTCTAAGATTTATGTTACGTTCCTTTTAACGTGACCTGACATCATACCGTTAAAGTTTATCCTCAGTCCAATCCAGAGGTTTAGCAGGCGGCTACACTGTTTTATGTTCAGTGTGTCCCATGAGCCACAGCCGCTGTGTCCTTTCATTGAGGGGCCTAATATCTGGATTGCTTCATTGCAGTGTTGACCTGAAATATTTTATTCCCCAGGGTGATAATATGTGAGGAAGAGCTGTTTAACAAGAACAATATGTGTTTGCATTTTTGCTATAGGACAGTGTGCATGTTTATATTCACATTTTAAGTGTTGAAAACACACACAGCATGTGAATGAACCCTGCATCACAGTTTATGGTTCTTTGGCCCTGCTTGTGATTCCTGTGCTACTGTCTAATCCCAGGTGTGCAAGAGGCTGTGGTCATCTGCCTGAACAAGCAAACCAGGGAGGCAGCAGACCAGAGCCTGTGTGTGAGCTCCCGTCGGCCTCCGCAGCTCCTCCAGGACTGCAAAACCCAGCCCTGCCCACCCAGGTAGCCTAAAGCCCACAGATCAGACCTACATCGTTATCATTTAGGCATTGTTTAAAACCATTTGTGCATGAACATTAAAGTAGACTTGATCGATGGATGCAGTCAAAACAGGGAGGACATGTTTTTGGAAAAATGATTTGCTTGCATTCGAGAAGAAAGTATTAATTAAAACCAGGACAAAAATCTGGCCGACAAGATGAAGCTTTGACATCCACATACCATTTCCCTGATGCGCCCTGGGTCCTGCACCTGCAACTGCTTAACTCTCAGATAATCAAACAACACACTAGTTGAATCAGTTAATCTCAACTAATCACTGCTTGTGTACAAAAGAGATTTAAATCATTCTAATCTACTACATTATCCCTCTCAGCTTAAAACTATTGGACCAATTAAATCACCATTTAGGCCACTTGAGTCCAAGTGATACTAAAGCAGAGTGATGGAGATGGATGGTTGTATCACTGACGGTAGGAAATGAAGCCAGCGGGACAGCTTGTGGAACCTGGTCCGAATCAGACACAGTGCGAGGCTCAGTTGGGGAAATTGTCCGTGGAACAACTTTGGAAGATTTTTTTAAAATTGGTTGAATCAGCACTGAAATGTAGGAGGTCTCCTGCTGCTGTAGCTGGGGTTCCTTTTAAACACCTCTGTTTTTTAGCATAAAAACAGAAGTCTTGGGGAAGACATGTCAGGCTGTCAGGAATGTCCTTGAAAAGTTAAATAGGTGTAAATTCATTGTCAATAACTTGTGTACAACATTTACACCAAAATGAAACACCCGAAAGGTTAAATAGTAAAAAATGCATGTTGTCTAATATGACTGAACAGTGAGTGGGTTTCGCGGTAGGCCACATGTTTCAGGTTAACACCACGCGCAGTGTCAGTGTTCCACCACTAACACTGCAGTCAGAAAACCCAGAGGCTTGCCTGTTTTTCCAGGCCTTGAGTCTTGTTTTTAGGCACAACAAACACTGTATTGGACTTGTTTCCTTTGGCCCTTTACTCCCTCCCTGAGGTCTCCTCACGTCCATATTAAGCTCCACTCTTTGGATACTGTTCCCTCTGAAGGGAAGCAGCCACAAGATGTGGCTTTAAGTATAGGACCAGTCCAGAAACTAGCTTCATTCCCAGTTCTTTTCAGTCCCTGGACCCTGGAGTCAATATTAATAGCTTTGAAATATCACCTAATCTGTCATGCAAGAAGTCAAGCTGCTGCCATCATGGTCAAAGCCAAAGTTTTTGGTGCCTTTAAAGGCCTAGTTAATAGTTAGACACATTACTGTCGAGATTGGAATAAAACATTTCAAGGTAGCTTTAATGTTTGATTCATCTCTCTGCATGAAATTGTGTTGTACAGTAATAGAAATATTAGTTCATGTATAGGTCACTGGGAAAATGTGGGTGAAGCAGTGCTATAGGGATTCCTCAGATATCACTGAATTCACTGGGAGATTTAACGTGTCTTCGCCAGGATCCGGCCCTGTGCATCACTCCTCACTTGTATTCGCGTTCATGAATTTACACATTCATAAAACTGTGAGTGTCCCCTCGTGGGACCAAGAGAAAACATCAACACTTAACTCCTCCTGACTGCTCTCCTTTACAGGCTGCATAATGGGCTACACATACACATTCACAAAGCACAAAGAATTGTGATTAATCAGGGGCTGTCAAGGTTAAGAGGTGAAAGGTCAGTGGTCCAGCACAGAGGCTAAGTTATGATGATTTACATTAAGGCTAAATACTAGCCTGTATGTGTAGTGAACAACCAAACACAGGTAAAAATCCAGCACAACTAAAACCTGGTGTTCCATTGTGTATCTGCCTAAAGACCTAAGAAACTTGGTTAACTCAGCATATATAGATATATAGACTCAAGGTCCAAATTCTGACTAATAAAAAACAACAAACAATAATAAAAACAATAAAAAAAACACCACAAAACACAACCAGTCCACTACTACCCCTTTAAGAGACAAGTATACCAGTGTCTCCAGAGTACTGATGTATATCGCATGTCACTATATGCAGCGTTAGTCAACAATAAAACTATGTTGTTTTCCGAGCTATTCAAGCGACAGATACATTTATACATCAGGTTTTTTTTAAAACAGCTGATAAAGTACTAACTTGTAGTGGCACAAACAATTCACTGGCACTCACCCATCTAGGCCTTTTCAGTAATAGTCTCAAGGCATCATTTTAAGCCACAGTCAATTTCCGAAGACTGCCTTTTTTATAATTAGACCATAGGTGGGCAGTGTTCAAAGAGGAACAATACGCTATAAAGAGTCAATTTTACCCCATCTGAGCATGAACCAAATTTCTGTGCCAATACATTTGCTTGCACATACAACATACAGCACTGCCGATACATATCCCCATCATCGGTCAAACAGTCATTTATAACATGACCCAGATACTTAACTTCATTACATACAGTTAAAATATTACCAGATATACAGTACATGTCCTGGAGCATGATATAGTTTGATGATAAATATTGTATTGACAGGTGGGAAACCGGTGAGTGGAGCTCATGCTCTGCTAGCTGTGGGGTTGGTCTGAGGACCCGCACTGTGGCTTGTAGTCACCGGCCCTCTCGGAACAGCAACCGCACTGAAGTTTTAAGGGATGAAGACTGTCAAGATCCCAAACCCGCTCCCGTCCAAGCCTGCAACCGCTTTGACTGCCCTCCTGTGTGGGACACACAAAACTGGGGACAGGTAAAAGGATATTCAGTCAGTTTATTGCAAATAGACCGCCATGTAATCCCCAACTAAAGGAAGTTCTGCTGGTGTGTTTTTGTCGCTGCAGTGCCCCCGGAGCTGTGGCGGTGGAGTTCAGAGGAGTGCAACCAGCGGCTGGCCGATGGCAGCTTCCTGGAGCTGCCCGACACTTTTTGCCCTTCCAAGAGCCCTGCAGACCAGCAGCCCTGTGCCAAGCAGGAGTGCCCACCACAGTGGGTCACAGCCAACTGGTCCCAGGTAGACAGACATGACTGACCTACAAATATGATGTAGTCAAAGTCAGAATTCTCTATTTCATGTATATGGAGTTTGCAAAGTTTCACATCATACATTTTTGCCTAGTGTTCCGTGACCTGTGGAAATGGTGTTCAGAGACTACAGGTAGTCTGCAGAAAACAAGGGAAAGATGGGGAACATTGGACTGTAGACCCTAAGAACTGCTCCCTATTGGCTCGGCCCACCCAGATCCGCCCATGCTCCCTCAGGCTCTGTAACAGTAAGAGACCCCCTCTTTGCATGGCTTAATTTATTTGTACTGCTAAGAGAGTGGAGACTGACAGAAAGACTTGATACTAAGCAAGAAAAAACATTCCTTAGCTAAATTGTGTTAACTGAAATTAAGGGAAAATTACAAATGC